CCCTACCACTTTCAACTTCACTAAAGGACTGGAGGCTTTGTTGTGTAGTGGTAGATAATGGAAGGACCTCACACAGGCCAAACCCAATTAATTTTTACGAATCCACTGAAAAAAATATTGACAACCCTCTGCCCAACAATACAGCTTTTTTCGAACTACAAGAGTCACAGCAAGCCAAGTAGTACTGTATATAATATAACACAACACCTTTCCCCCTTTAGTTAACATAATCCTTCAGCTAGTGAGTGGGGACTTTTGCACAGCTGGGGGAGAAGCTTCAGGGAAATTTTCTCAAGCAGCTGCTGGAGGTTAAGAACAAGGATTGGCGTCATCCTGAACTGGCTCTGGTGATTCTTCAGGAAGTGTAGCTGGCATGTCAACTCCCAAGCACTCTGGAAATAATGCTTCTGATGAGTACCTTGTTGGCACTCATTTGAGGAGTTTTATTTATGCATGCATGCATGGATTTTTATGGTCGCTCAACTCAGAGCCATCTACTTGAGAAATGATCAGTCATTTCCTGAGCTTATCAACTGTTTTAGACTTAGGTGAATCAGGAGCAGTGAGTGCTCTTATTGTAGCAAATGAGAGTAAGGGTAGTGTCGTTTTGTTTGGGGCTATATATATCTTGTTTGCTTCAAGATACAAGGAAATCCTCTCTGGATGCAAATCCTAGGAAGCTGGCTGAGGGATACCAAATTTTTCAAGAGCCAGCTTGAAAAATTGTGTCCAAGAGCCGCCATTTTGTTTTATCTATTCCATCCAGAATCTGCTCAGGTTAGAGATTGCTTCCTAGAGCACTTTTAATAGCAAACTATTTTCTTGCTGGTCTTCAGCTCTTTATAAATCATCACCAAAATGCTGGTCTCTGGTAGAAATAATGGAAAAATCACACAAAGGCCAAACACAACTATTTTTTTTTAATGAATTTCCTTAAAAGGATGCTGTCAAAGCTCCGCCCAGTGATACAGCTTTTGTCAAAACTGTAGTAGCTGCAGTGGGCCAAAAAGGTATTAATAACACAGAGAGCCGCAGCTGACATAGCAGGCTTTGTATTCATAATAAACATTCAACTGTGGAGTTTATTTTATTAAACAATTTTACATAGCTGCCTATTGCCAGAGGAACTCTGGGTGGCAAACAGAAATGAAAGCATCACCAAATGTACAAATCAATTAAAGAAAAAACTAAGCTGGGCTCCCTATTGAAAATGTCCATGCCAGTGCTCCATTAATGCCCTGGCCCCAGTGCCTTGGGGAAAAGCCAGGTCTTCATGGCCCTCCTGAAGGCCAGCAGGTTCCAGGCTATCCATGACTCGGGGGGGGGGGGAGATTGTTCCACAAGGCAGGTACCATGACAGAAAAGGCACACTTCCGAGGGCCACCAAATGACCCTGCTTCACCGACAGGACCCAGAGTTTGCCCACTCTGCCTGATCGTCCCAAGGTAACTCACATTTTGTGTAGATGGCAGAAGAACTGTAACATTTGCAAACAATCATTCTAACTCCAAGTAGAAAATGAATTATTCTGACTTCCATGTATTTATTGTTTGTCAGCAGTTATCATGGGAAAGGGTCATTTTTTACAGTAAAAAATCGATTTCCTGCAGGGTTTTTACCATTTGTTTGACTGAAAGCACATGCCTAGACTGGATGAATCAGTGCTCCCCTGCCTTAAGCATTCTCAGCATAACTTTTAGATGAGTTCAGACAAGGCAGGTGCTTAACTTTATTCAATTCTTGAAACCCCCCTCCCTTTAACCGCCCCCCCCCCTTTTGCAGGCCAGCTCTTTTTCTTCCTTTGGAGGTCACTTGTGCAAATTAGATCTTTTCAAAAGTATGATGCAGAATTATTTTTTAAGGCGGAATGGTTGGTAAAATCAGCTGGACTACAATTCCCCTTATAGTTGTTGGTGCAGTGTCATCTGAACCTTTGCCATCCCTATCAAAAGGATTATAAGTCAAATATCCATAAACCTATCCAGAGGCATAGGAAAGCTCAAACGATTTGCAGTATTTTTTCAAAGTTTCCATAAGTATAATCTGTTTAAGCCCTTGCTCATTTACAAAGGTTCTAAGGAGCTTAAATAATTGGAAATTTACAGAGCATGTAATACTTAAGTGCTACAAAGCCACCTTAATGAGTGGACTCAGGCAACAAGTACATTGCTCAAATATGAATTGTTTTATAGCCCAACCCACTGAAATCCTAAACTACTGTAACTGAAGACAGTTTAAAAGGAAAGAAAAAGATTGCTTAGCTCTTTTTTCCTTTTTGATGTATTTTATAAACATCAAAAAAAGAAGAATGCTTCTCAAGTGTGCTTACAAATCCTCTCCCCAGTCTAAGCAATACCACTACACAGGATCTGGCATAATCCACCATAATCTATAATCCAGATTATGACTGCATTAAAAGCAAAAAGAAGAACTCATTATGTCAGGATAAGTATTACAGGCTACATGGCTGCATTTGGACATGTAATGTGATATGGTTACTGCCTCTGACTTGGGCTCCAGTTCTTCCATTCCCATGTCTCCCAAAGCAGAAATTAAATAGAACTGGTCGATTAGTTAATCAACTTTAGTTAAACAGACATTAGAATTACTGCTGTGTTTTCATGGGAATTCTGCTCAGGGAATCAAAACCTTATAAGCCAAAATCTAGGCATCAAGATCATTGTTCAAGTTAGCAGAGAATCTAACAGCTTGAAGCACAACAAGAAGGATGTTGCATGAATAATGATGAGGCTCTAGTCAACCAGATTTTTAGGCAAGATTGTCACCTTACCCCTTTCTGGCTTATCAATTAGGATCATGATGTTAATGAGCCCACCTCATTGGCCTACTGTACATTCAGTTAGATTTCTTGGAGTTTGGAAGGCTTTTCTGATGGGACCAGTCAATGGACTGTGGTTCTACCAATGTTGCAACATCCTTGAATCTCCCTCCAGTGGTAAAATAGGGGTAGTTACTAGCATCATCTGTTGCATCTTGACCTCTGCATATTCACTAAGAGAAAAAAATAGAATATTCTTTCTGTTCTTTTGAGATCTTCTCCAGTTCTGGGATGGCCCTGCTATAAAAATGGGAGACAACCCTAACATATAGCTTATTTTAAGGATAACCAGTGTGTTTAGGTTCATACATAATACTAACCTGTAAAAAGCTTTGGGATTCCTGTAAAAGGTTGCACTGAAGTGCATATGCCTTGGCCCACCTAGGCTCATTCTTTGCACGATGAACCAAAATGAAATCACCAGCATAATCAAACATAAGCTATGTATAGAGAATATCTATGCTGACATATGAAAAAAGGAGCCCTATAATAGTAAATGTACCTCACCCTAACATTATTGAAAATCCCAAATTCCAGCAAAGACTAGGCTTGCTCATTAAAAAAATAAGTTGGCAGGCAGGCTTCACCATACATCTATTATAGATGACCGCATCCCACTTTCTTGGAAGCCACAGCAACAAGGACCAGAATATTGGAAATAGAAGCAAGCAGATGGCAATAATGCTGAGTAAGAAACAAGGTGGTAGAAATGCGTTGGCAGATGTGAGCCCCAACTGCTGCTTCCAAGGTATATTGATCCCAACAGCAGCTTCCCTATGGGTTTTCACTCTAGCCTTTGATGCATTCCCCTCCTCTACTGAAACATTTCAACACATGTGCAGTGTAGCCCTTCAAGAGAGTTAGCTGAGTTACTGCTTAGATCATTATGGTCAAGGTTCTAATCTTATAGAAGATATGTATGGTACTGTCCCACACCCATATTTAACCAGAAACTCTTTTGCACACTCTGTCATAAACCTGGACAGAGAGAGAGAGAGACCTTCTTTCCAGTCCTTTGTATACTCACATATTTAAGAGAGATTCACACAATTACATCATGACTCACAAGGACAATGACCTTGAATGATCTGATTGCTCTTCTTGTGGGCTTAAATTATCTTTCTGCCAAATTGTCGCACATCCTCCCTCCTGTTCCTTCTTCCATCCATCTCCTCTTGCAGGCCCAGGCCTATACAGTATATTCTTCCTCCTCCTTGCCACATGCTGAAATAACATCAATGTGCTTTGTCATTGCTTTTTGTAATTATACTTTGAATCTGTTTTTTAAAGCCCACATAAATGCATAGTTGAGCTGTCTTAGAAATGTTAGACTTGCTTAAATCAAACTAAATCACTGGGACAAATGCTACCAATTCTATACATGTTTATTTTTCTCAAGGAAGCTCAGTTCATTTCACTGTAACTTTTTTCCATGTGTTTGTATTTAGAATTGTAAACTGACAGCAATTGCTGCTTACCTGGAAGTAAATTCCACTGAAATAAAAGAACTTGAAGAATGTTAAAACAAATCAGTTTTCTTTTTTATAAGTAAAAGGGCAGGTTCTGTTGCAGCACAAACAGGCACATAATTCACAAAGTCTGTTTAGCTTCAGGTATTTTTGCCTCAAAAAGTGTACAAAAATGGGAACTTGTATATATATTTTGAAATGTATATATAAGAAAGTGCATGATAGATAGTTGCCTAAAAATGCATGTAATGGCGAAATTTGCATAAGTACATGTATATATTATGGAAAGAAGCACACAAAATACATATGATAGGGAAAACTGTACAACAATTAAAGTGTACTTTGAAAACCGATGGAGTAGATTGTATGTATGAATGCATACAGTCTGGATTTAGACTGATCCTCACATACTAAATTAAATACTGAGTACCTGAGCCCCTTAGATTCTAAAAGGACTGAAATAAGGTTAATGGAAACATTACGTAGGTTGTATATTGTGGCCAAAGCTGAGTGCAGTGTGAAACAAGAAAGCACAATACTTGTTTAAAAAAGAAATATTCTTACATTGGAATTTGCAGTAGTTATTTTAAACAGAAGATATAAAAAGTTTGATTCCCACGGTAATAAAAAATCGTTCCAAAATTGTGTTTTTTACTCTTAGGATTTGTGACCCTGGATTGTTCTCTTGACAGGTGGAAAATTTCCTGAAGACTTTTCAGTACTATTTACAATAAAACCTAAAAAAGGAGTCCAGTCCTTTCTTTTATCTATCTACAATGAACACGGCATTCAGCAAGTTGGCATTGAGGTTGGCAGGTCGCCTATCTTCTTGTTTGAGGATCAGAATGGAAAGCCTGCCCCGGAAGATTATCCCATCTTTAGTACAGTCAATATTGCTGATGGAAAGTAAGTGGAAGATAATGAAATGAATATGGTGTCTATTTGAATTAATTGAATATGTTGTCTATTCTGGCTGCTGATGCCAACCACCAGATGATTTAAACAAAACCTTTTTTAAAAAACTTTTTCAGTAGGGGTTGAACTTGGATCTTTGGCACATAAATCTTGAGATTTGCCACTGATAAGTTCTGGTATCCCCCTGCCCTCTTGTTTGCTTGTCTGTCTATCACCTTTCTCTTGCTTTTTGTATTATATTGCCCTTAGATGCTGCTCTCCTATCTCTCCTTCCTTCACTGGGTACCAGCTAACATGGTCTCATTCCCCCTTCACAGTAAGATCTCATTTATGCCTTAAAAGAGTGAAGATGCCAACCTGATGTGTATTATCAAAACCAGCTTTTGATTTGCATTGGGGGAACTAGCCGGAGTCCTTAAACATACCATCTTGATCAATATTGCTTCATATAGTCAAGAATCAATCTGGAGTGGGGCGGTGTCTAAGCGGAATAAATAAAATTAATAAAAAAATAATATTTCAAAACTGAACTATTTTTGTATTTTGAACTTTCCTTTTTGCCCTCCCTTTTACTCTACTGGCAGAATACTTAAGCAAATAAACAAGCAAACAAATAAATAGGAATGCCATCCTACTCACCAGAAAACGTTTTGAACTGAGATTGGCTATGAGTCTTAACCTTGTATTGTGTCAGTGAGATAGCTTGGGGATAGCTAATGTACCTGCTACAAAATTCTCAAAATCTAACTGTCCCTTGTATTTTTCTATATCTCATGTAGGGGTCAATCATTTTTCCTTATGCTTCCCACTGAGGCACACACTTCCCAGCTCTTCCCACTTGCTTTGATCTGCAACTCGTATGTAGCTGAGATTGGGAGTTTCGAAGTTACTCTGTGCACAGCCTTGGTCAATGGAGGGAATTTATTCAGAGAAAACACACAGTCAGGCCAAGAGACGCTTGTCCCTTGACCTCCCTGACCTTCACATAGAATTCCAATTAAGAGGCAGCTAGGATCTTGCAATGAATAACAAGAACGCTGAATACTAAGAACAATAAAGCTTTATTGGTTTAACAAGATAGATGTCTGCACACTCACACATGCATTCTCACTCATACTCATTCTACATCTAGGGCCAGCCAAGACCCAAGGATAAGAAGCCTTCGGCTCACACTTTGTCTTTTTGGAGCTTTTATATTGTGTGCTGCTAGGCAAAATTTCACCACGAGCAACACTAATTAATTAATTGTTGCCCATTTGTTTATGTCTTTGGCTGGTTCAGGTATCTGCTTTTTCTTTCCATCACTTCTTGGAATGCATATGTGAGGCGCTCACTTCCAGATAATGGTTCCTGTCATTGTATGATGGTGTTGGCTTTTTACTGCTTTTGTTTTGAAGTGGTGGCTCTAGCCTTCCAGAGATGATGGCGGCAGCGGTGGTGGTGGTGGTGATTCTTTATTGCATACCATCCACCCTGTTGCCTAGTATCCTTTCTGGCCAGGCTAGCTGAGGAAGTCTCCAGTGTGATGTTGGAAGACACCCGTGCTGCACTGGAACTGCCTAGTAGGACTAGTGTAAGATTTCTTGGCCTCCATAACAGCCATGAGGTAGGCTTAAAGTTAAGGTTGGGCTAATGCCTAGGGTCAGGTACACAGTTGCTGCTTCAGATCAAGAGGGGGAGATTAGTATTACACTGTGGCCATGAGTAGAACTGAATCTGGTACAATAGGGTCTGCCAGCAGCTTTGTTTTGTTGCAGGATGTTTAAACACTTTTTTTTTTAACCCTAGCCGTGCAGACTCAGTAGATGAATGACATGATTTTTTGTCAGGCTATGTGTTGCTGATATGTATAGAACAGTCACAACTATTTGGTTTGTTCATGGATATACTGTGTGAAAAAACTGAAGTCCAGGCTATGCTTTTTATGGCTTTTCTCGACACGTTAGTTCTGCAAGGATGCCCGTGTGGTGATTACCAGAAGCATCCAATAAAGTTGTGCAAATATGCTGCTTAATAGCAGTCATTCCTCATTGTTAGAGCTACTGAGAGGAGCTCCTGCTTATAATGAAGAAATATGGCCTTTAATATTTTAAACAAATATGCTTATTCCATTGTTCTTCAGCTATAAACTTGCAAGCAAAAATGTTTCTTCTTTTTAAACGTTTGATTCCTGTACTAGGTGGCATCGAGTAGCCATTAGTGTGGAGAAGAAATCAGTTACCATGATCGTGGACTGTAAGAAGAAAACCACAAAACCACTTGACAGAAGCAACCCGGCGGTTGTTGACACCAATGGCATTACTGTTTTTGGAACAAGAATTCTGGATGAGGAGGTCTTTGAGGTAAATATTCAGCTGTCGAATGGCAGCATATTTCATACCATGTGAATAGAATATCTGTTGAAAGCAGAAAATGGTGGAACTGCTATGTACAAGCTGCCCTGTATAAGGCTTATGGAAAGTATATTTCCAAATTAGAAGATTGCGCTAAAGTACACGTTTTAAAAGTGGTTATCTCATATTAAAGTAATTGGAATATACAAACACATTTGAAATAAATGGATTTAAAATCTTAGTTTTGCCTTTTTGGGTATACCTGTATACAGATTTAGATGAAAGCATTATTGATTGTAACATTCCATATATTTTTGATATTCCTGAGGGTCAGTCAGTCTGTTATTTCATCCCTCTGACATGTGCATTGCTGTTGACTGTGCATTGCTGTGGCATGTGGGTCCATGCCTAGATCACTGAATCTGAAACTCCTGCTAATGTGGCAAACTCCCTAAGTCATTTCTTTCTTGCCAGCATTTCCCCTTAGTCCTGCTATTATTTTAATTTGTATATACAACCAATAAAATTAATGAAAGAAAAACAGTTGTCTCATGCAGATCTGGTAGTATCATGTATATTGGTTTAAGTTTGGAGTCTTAAAGATATATGATGTCTAAGTAAATGCACACACACCAATTGTACTGTTGGGAGCTGAGTGTTTAATTATCTGTGGGATGGCAACATGAAACTCACTTTTTGGGACTAGGATGGCTGTTGTACTGACTGGTGTTAAGGGTTTGGGGGCTTCAATGTACTTCCATCAAAAATAAACCATGTGGAGTTTTCTTCATAAAGAGTGCTGTCCATACTTAATTGGAAGAAAGAGAACAAAGATGGAAACTTTGTCATTGTATAAACACGTTTAGGAATGGGTTGCATTTCCAAGTAAGCTTGTGTAAAAGTAATACATTTGAAGTGAATACAGTTGGTAATTTGAATGAATGAATGAATGAATGAATGAATGAATGAATGAATGAATGAATGAATATGAAAGTACAGCAGCAGACTTATGCAGCTCTTAAAATTAGTGTAAGTATATGGATTGATAGTCCATTGATTTCTTTCTCTAATATCAGTAGTAACACTGAGGCTGTAGTTCTGAACTCCACTAAACTCAGGGAAACTTGATTTTAGATATGTATATTGAACTGTCAGGAAGTAAGCGGCTTCTCTCTAAATTTTATTGCATTAATAAATAAAGAAGAAAAGGCTGTTGCAGAACATAGGTTGAAAATGAAAGACCACTGGATGGCAGATCCTGGGGAAAGTATTTCAGAAACAAAATGGAGAATAATCTTTCTAAATAAAATTAATCTTTCCATTGCAAACATCCATAAGAAAATTGCTTTAAAGTTCTATGTAGTTCATTCCTTTTACTACATGAAAAGGTGTTATAAATGACTAGTAAAAGAGAATTCACCATTGATTCAGTTTAATAATCTGTATGAGCTCTCTAGTTAACTGTAACTGTGGACATTCAGAACAAGTGAGAAGGAGAAGTACAACCCTTCTACTATGTATTTGGAATTGGTGATGCTGATCTCAGGTATCTTCCCTTCAGAGTGATGTATCCATTGCAGACATGGACATACTGTAGTACAAGCATCTTCATAGTTTTGCATATGCAAGAGTTTGTGTTACAGAGCCTTGTTGTTACTCATTGTAATGGGCTGTGAGAATAACCTTGGGAGACAGGAGGAAGATCTGTAGCCTAGACAACAGTCTGATAAACGAAATCTGAACCTGAAGGATGGTGTGTGGAGAAATCATCTCAGAAGGGACCCTCCCTAGTTCTCTGGAAAGTAAAGGCAGGGGAGGGGGGACGTGCTTTCAGACTTGCAAGATTCTGTTACTGTAACCTTATGATAAAGGTAGTGTTAGTACTCATGCTTTGGTTCCCTGTCTGGACTACCTCCAAGGGCTGACACTTATGTTTTGAATGTTCAAGCTAACCTTGATTAATTGACTGTAATTCAGGACAGAAATTCTTAGAAGTTAAACATGTTAATGTCCTAATGCCTGTGATGAGAGTTGAGCATCCTTTGGGAGAGAATATTTTCTTTGCAAGTCACCAGAATTACACATGACCTTGTGTGATATACTTATGGTCACAGGAGGGACAAATCATCATGGGGAAGCCACTTAGATCAGTCTTCACATTATATTTATACGTTTGTTCTGTGTCTTTATTCCAAGGAAACACATACGTTGCAGTGACTGCAATTAAGTGCAAGACTGCAGCCTTCCTGCAATTACAGAGCTGGTCCAGAAAGAACTCTATTTGTGACTTATGCCTTTTGATATTTATTTATTTCATAAATCTTTCCAGTAACTAAAGAAGATTTGGCAAGAGGAAGTATATTTTTCCACTATTTAAAAGCCAGGAAGAAGGATTATACAGACCACTGAAATACATCTGTGTAAAGGAATCTATATGGGAGACTGAACTTCTTATAGGAAGTATTCCCTAGAAAGATTATTTTAACAGACATTTGGAGGGCATTTATGTTTTCAGGCGTCTGATTTTACAAGGCTGTCACATGCCAAGAAAAATAATCCAAGCAGAAAAGATGGTCTTTAGGAATGGATGTGGTAGTAGTTAGTCTTTCTGTTCCCCATGGAGGTGGTTAGCAAGGCAACAAAAATATTTCAGGTTCATTTGGACTGAAGCCAGATTAGTTTCTGAAAAATATACAGTTAGAAGTATGAGCATTTCATTACAATCAGCATTATTTTACCCCATGAATTTCTCACATTTTAAGAAATGTATATCTCAAAATTTGACCTAAGGTGTAATTCAAGACTTTAGGGTTTGGGGAAAAAATGCCTTTCAGATTACCAAAGGCAATCACAAGAGTTTAGATAAGAACAGTAAAAAAAAAAAAAAAAAAAAGGTTTTGTTGGGTGTTTCCCATGTCCCTTTTTTGATGGGGGATTTTTTCCCCCTAAATTGAAATTTGAACTGAATTTGGAGGGTATTTCAGAATTTCTAGAGGATTTTGAGGAAAGCCAAAAGTCTTTTCATGATTCAACTGATGTTTCTCACATGGCTTTCATACTTGGTAAATAAAATATTTGTTTTGGTGAAGACTTTGGAAGAGAACATGTAATGTTTGAAAAGGTGTCAGTGATACAGTGTTGGCATCTATTCTTTTCCTCTTAATAATATATTTAAAGGCTGTTTATCAGGCCAAGGATTATTGAAAACTAATAAGAATATCATAACTCACATCTGAATGTGAGAATGGTAGAATTAATTAAAATGGCTGTACAGAATATTGCAAGATTGATGAATGTTCTGGCTATGGTGCTGGACTTACATTGGCTGTTTCACATATGAAGGCATAAAGGCCAAACACAAATCTTTCCTGCTTCATGGTCTGAAGAGGATATCTCAGTAGAACCAAAAAATTCCTGCTGCAATTTTAGGCCCTGCACATTTAAGCAGATACTCGATCAGGATTGTATTGCTGTAGCCTCAGAGAGTTGGTAAGATTGTTTCAATTCCTACAGTGATTTCCATTTGCAGCCATTGCTACATGCAGTCTCAGAACACAATCCCATGGTTTTGATGTATGGGTTAGGAAGCCAAGAATGATTCCTCTGGCAAAGAATGCCTCTGTCTCAGGTTTTAGTGAAGGTGTTGTTCCACCCACTGGCAGGCTTTGAGAAAATAACCATTAAGGATCAAATATTTCAGTATGTGTGTCAGTATATATGTCAGGATTCTTTATTTTACCAACATCCAGAGCATCTATGTCATACATGCATTGTTATTGAGATGTTTGAATAGAGAGCTGGCATGGTGTGGTGGTTAAGGTGCTGGACTAGGAGCAGGGAGACCCAGTTCTAGTCTTCTCTTAGGCAAAGAAGCCAGCTGGGTGACCTCAGGCCAGTCACTTCCTCTTAGCCCTAAATCATTATCAGACTCTGAGGCAAACCAAGGGATTGATAGCTTCACTTATAAGAACCAGCTGACCAAAGAGCAAAAACAAGAACATCAATGTTTGAGTTTTCTTTTTTTTTCTGCAGACCTTTCAAGAAAACCCTGGAAAAATATAGTATCCACAGAACCATCAAACTATTCTGGCAACATTTGGGCCTTGGTACATTATATCTTGGTACCATTGTTAAATGGCTAATAGGAAGTAAAATTGGCAGTGACTCATTTCAGAAACAATTTAATTCTCTGACAATGCTTTTCTGTATTTGGAATGTAAATATCCAGCACTGGGAATAGTATTGTTTTTATGAGATATAACATGTAGTTTGGCCTACTTAATGGTTACTTAATTGATTCAACAAAATAAGGATAAGGATGCCCCACTAAGTTGGAGGGAGTGGACAAATAATTCCTCGGCATTTCAAATATGGCACACAGTTGGACACGAGGTGGTGCCATTTCTCAACAAGGACTTTATTATAATCTTCTAGCTAATTCCAAATGTCATAATTCCCTAATAAGTATCTTAAACTCTTCCCTACGCATGTATTTATCATTCAGGGTCAGAGTTAATGTAAGCAACCACCTTCATTGTGGTTGAATTCTCATCCATATTTCTGTTGAAACTTGAAACACCTTCAAGTGTTTTCATTTATTTAGTGATGGTTTTCTCTTCTGGATTGTCCGTCATTTCATGAATAAAGGTAGATGCTGCAATAGCAGGTAGATATGTTTACATATTATTACATATATTTGGAAATTCTGTTTTCTGGTTTGGAAAGACAGACATAACCAAGAAGCATCCAAGTTGGAAGAAAATTGATAATTGGTAATAATTAAATGATCATTAAAATAGCAAATTGGTTCAATATATGTGTTCATTTGGGCAAAGAATTATGAGATAGAGATTGTCTGGTGAGTGTCAAAGCCACTGTCCTGGATGAAACCTGCTGTATCCAGGAGTACATCAGTAAGATGGCACCAG